TGAATTATCAATTTATTCAGAGTTCATTTTTATATTGTAATCTGCTTTTCTTAAAAAGTCAATTTCTGCAGCCTTTGTAGGTTTTTCTTTTAAACATTTCTGTGATATCTTTTTTGTCTCTTTGTATCACTTGAATAACACAAATGTTCTGGTTGTAAAATATTTAAACCATATAGAAATATACATAGCAAACAGCTCCCTCATCCACACCCTTCTTTATAGATAACCACTGTCAACAGTATTTTAGAGTCTATTTTTCCCGTCTTTATTCATCTGTACATATCTCCATAATCTTTTATAAATATCTATGTGTACACAGTTGACCCTAGAACAACATAGTTTGAACTGCACGGGTCTACTTTATACCCAGGCAGATTTTTTCAATTATGTACAGTCTATCCTATGTATCTGTGGGGTCCGCATCTGCAACCTAACATCCATCAAAAATACGGTATTCACTCATGCCTGTAATCCTAGCACTCTGGGAGGCCAAGGCAGGAGGATTGCTTGAGCTCCGGAATTTGACACCAGCCTGAGCAAGAGCAAGACCCCATCTCTACTAAAAAATAGAAAAATTAGTCGGGTGTGGTAGCGCACCCCTGTAGTCCCAGTTACTCAGGAGGCTGAGGCAGTAGGATCGCTTGAGCCCAGGAGTTTGAAGTTGCAGTGAGCTATGATGACACCACTGCACGCTAGCCCATGCAACCATAGCAAGCAAGACTCTGTCTCAAAGAAAAAAAAACGGTATTCACAGGTACAACACCAAGGTATGACTTTTCATTTCTGTGGGCCAGACTGGGACCCTTGAGTATGCGTAGATTTTGGTTGGGGGATGGGGGATCTGGGATCCAATCTCTCCCCCAAGATACCAAGGGATGACTTTATATGGATCATATAATACCTACTATTTAGCATCTTAGAGTTTCTTCACTTAATATGTCCTGGAGAGCTTTCTTTTTTCCCCTCAACATTATAAAAAGCTTTTTTCCCCATTATATGCATAACACATGATTATTATAAAAATTTGACCAAGACATAAAAGATGTTTTTAAAACAATAAAATTGACCTAAATCTCTCCAGAGATAATCACCACTAATATTTTGGCAATCTTTCTTTATTGAATCTCTTAATGTATTTTATGTAATTGGTGTTTATTCTGACAGCAACTGCAATTTGATTCTGGCACTAAGCATCCAGAATTAGGACAGACCACAGAAATTAAAGGACATGGTCCCCGACAAGACTGCCTCCACTTCAGACACCAGTCAAAAGTAGGGACCCCAGGTCCCCCAGGGACCTGCATTTTCAACTGACCACAAATCTGGGAGGTTCCCACATCTCTTTTTAGCTTTGATAATTCACTAGAACAACTCACAGAACTCAATAAAGTGCTATACTTACAGTTTTATTAGAAAGGATATAAATCACAAAGAGCCAAATGAAGAGACATATAGGACGAGATCTGTGAGGGTCCCAAATGCAGAACTTCTGTGTCCTCTCCTCGTGGAATCACGGCACATCATCTTCGTGTCATATGAATATATTCACCAACCATGAAGTTCCACTGAGTTTCATGCCCAGAGTTTTTGTTTGGTTTTTATCATATAGGCATGATTAATTGAATTATTAATGCATGTTTGAACTCCTTCTCCAGCCCCACTCCCTTTCCTGGAGGTCAGGAGTTTGGGCTGATATCATGTGGCTCAAAGCCCCAACCCTCTTACCATGTTTGGTCTTTCTAGCCTTAGCCCCCATCCTGAAGCTATCTAAGGGCCCACCATGCATCATCTTTTTGCAGAAACTCAGGTATAATTAAAGGGGCTCGTAAATAATAAAGACACGCATATTACTTGAATTCCAAGAATTTAGATTCACTCTCAGGAACAAAGGAAAGTCAAATTCTTTATTATGCTTCAGTGAAATATATAGTTTTGTTGTTTTATTTTAATTGTGGATGCCTATTTTGGTCTCAGATTTCTTACCATGTCACTATACTAGGTCCCTCTCATTTTTTTTCAAGGCTCTTGTGCAGAATGCAAAATATTTTATATTTCAAATGTATTAATCCTCTGTCTATGATAGTTATTTTTTTCCTGTTTGTAGTTTGCCTTTTAATTTTGATAACTTCTATGCTTAGATAGTTCTTCTCCTTTAAATATTTATCTAAAAATTTTTATAGCTTTCCTATGTCTTTTTCCCCTATATATTGAAATTAGTTTGGTGCAGAGGAATAAGTAAAGTTTAAATAAAATTTTTTTTCAAGTAACCAATAGAATGAATTTTTTGTTTTTTAAATTCACGCTTGCAAGGAGTAGGTGGGTTGTAAGGAATGGGGGATTTGGTGTGTTATAAGGAAGGTATTTTATCCCTGTTTTTTAGGATGAAGACTCTGAAGTTCAAAAAGGTAAAATAATTTTCCCCAGGTCATCTGGAAAGGGCAGAATTGTCTATGACTCCAAAGTCTAAAAAAGACACTTAATAAACAGCCAATATTGGAATCACATGTAAATACTGAATGACTTAGAAAGTACATAAGATTATGATATAATTTGTTCTGATAGGAAAATTGAAAATTAAGTGGAACATAGAAGAAAATCTAATTATCACACTGGACAATGACATTAAGGTGAAATCTGGATCCCCAAACAAAAGGTAAGTTTTCATTGTGTTGATCAATTTAAATTAAGTCTCTATTTGTTACTGAATCATACAAAAATGTTCACCAAATTTAGGGAGTACATGTATGATGGTCCAACTTGTAGGTTTTGTGGTTTGCAGAAAATTCACTTCAGGAAATTCAAAGAGGCATATCAAAGAGATAGCTATATTCCAGAGTGCTAAAATTCAGATACCGCGTATAATAAAGAACTACTCAGAGACACGTCATGCATTAAGATAGAGGAATGAAAGAAGTGGTCTCGGCCGGGTGAGGCAGCGAAGTGGCTCACGTCTGTAATCCTAGCACTCTGGGAGGCTGAGGTGGGAGGTTCACTTGAGGTCAGTAGTTTGAAACCAGCCTGAGCAAGAGCAAGGCCCCAGCTATACTAAAAATAGAAAAATTTAGCCAGGCATGGTGGTGCGTGCCTGCAGTTCCAGCTACTGGGGAGGCTGAGGCAGGAGGATCGCTTGAGCCCAGGAGTTTGAGATTGCTGTGAGCTATGATGATGCTGCTGCACTCTAGCCTGGGTGACAGAGCAAGACCCTTTCAAACATTCATTCATTCATTCATTCATTCTATCTTATTTAATCCACTGTATTTTGGGGTGTCTGTGTTACAATAGCTTAACTCCCCCCTTGACTTACATAGGTGGTTAGAAACAGGACTGGAGAGACAGAAAGATAATAGGATTCCTAGGGGCATAGACTAGGAAGTTGGCAAGGCTGACGATGACCAAGACATCACTTTAAAGCAAAATCTGCAAAGGGTGGATCTGGAACCTAAATGGGAAAGGAAGTTG